AACTTCAATTCAATGACATACAACTTTTTTATTCCATAAGTGAACTATGAAAATGAATCCCAAAACGCCCTATTCTGTCATTCTATCGATTTTTTAAAAATACTTTAGAGGGTATCTCCCCGTGCCATTATAGTTCACCTTTCTGAAGCTTACCTTTGGCAAAAAACGCCAGGAAACTTCATACCCACACACAAGGCTGAAGTTACTTAAGTTTACAGCACACAAACACACACTGCGCACTGGAAAAGGGATCGAGGGGGTTTTCGGAACACTATTTCTTTATAGCATTGCCAAGACACTTAGAAAATTCATGATATTGCCGGTCGGAAATGGGTTTTATTTTCTTCCCTCTAGTTGGCCAAAACTTTAAGCCAAAAAGTGGTTTGGGATCAGATGCGGCATTGATAGGTGGATTGTGGGGTGGTGGTGCAGAGCTACATGGGCGTCACTTTCCACCCACTAGACTTTCATCCCCCCAACATTTCGAGTTCATGAATTTCGAATGGAACATTTCAATTTGTGGTCAAGTGGGCTGCGGCTGGGGAATGGGCCATTAACAAGCAGTTAGCAACTAATTAGCACACGTCCCAGCCAAATCCTTTCACGAACTCTTTTTGGACCAAAGGTCAGCGCAATCAGTGTTCGCCTGGGTGAGGAAATATTTTCAAGCTAACACATTTTCACCAGAATATTGACAAATGAAATTGCAAATTTAATGACACGCTCATCAAGAAACTCAAACTAAAACAAAAACGACCTGAACAAGAACTAATTAAAGTGAAACGAAAGTAACATGATATGGGCCCAAAACACAGAGTAAGGGGCTCATGGAGGCGGTTTGGGCGTGGTCTGCGGCTGACCACGGGTGCGTCGCATGATCTTTGCCTATGCAAAAGTGAGCCGTGGTGAGTGAATGGCCTCCAATGCACTTCAAAGCAATTAATTTGCAATAAAAGCATTTTTAATGTCCCCCTTCCTGTGTGTGTGTGTGTGTGTATGTGCGTGTGTGTGTGTGTGTGTCTGTGTGTTGATTGATGACGCAAGTGTGGTTCGGTTTAACCACAGACCGCCACAACAAACCCTCCACCCCTCAACACGCCCTGTTTCCGGACGGTTTTTCTACTCAGAATCGATTGTTGCGGATTCGCCGCATTGGGCCTGTTGAAAACAGGATTAACCTCAAGAAACGCATACGCAACCAGCGGTGCAATATGTTGTAAACATCCTAAATACACAAGCTGATCTTTGATTATAGACAAAAAAAAATCATTTCATATTTATTTCATGCCCATAAATAGAGCCCATCTCAATTATAGCATACGTTTCAGGGCTCTTCATTCTCTTTCGCCGGTAATCCACGTACTCGAGAAGATCCCAGCGTACAGCACACACCCAAGCAAAGCTAAATCTTTTGCGGCAGCACACTTTCGGAATCGAGTGGTTTAGTCGGCTAGTTGGCTCAGTGGTCGGACTGTCTGTCAGCAGTTTGTTTAGCAAGTACAGCTGAAATTGCTGTCATTGCATTATCGGGACGACTTTGTTGTGAATGTGTCCAGCTTTTTGCGGGCTTGTAAGAGCGTCACGTAGCAGGTTTCTGGGTCCGTGTCCGTGGAAGAGACTGCTGTCATCGGCGGCATCCTGTGTCGCGTCCAGCTGTCGTATCCTAAAAGTTCACTCTCCGAGAACCATTTTCTCTGTTCGGGCTGTCTAAAAATATCAACAAAATCGAAGCTCGTCACGCGTCTTCTTCGGTTTCGGCCTCTTTTTCCGTCTGCCCATTTTTTTTTCTGTATCGATTTTTGGGCCGCCACACGCTTTTGTGCCACGCCCGTCGCTTCTTGCTTTTTGCCCCTTTTCGACAACACTTGTCATAATAATGTTATGCGATTCTTCACCCATTGGAATGGCCAACCTTGAATGTCTTTCATTTCTTATTGATTTATTTTAAGGTTAATTAAAAACAAGAAATTCGGACCAAAAAAACCGGAAAACTGGAAATCGTACCACAATTGGGCCACGTAATTGTCATAATCAAGTGACATTATCGAGTCAGGTCGACGGGGAGGAATGTGAAACTTATTAAGTTTAATGCTTAACGTAAGCAATGCCTATTGCCTATGATCACTAGAAACTGGCCTTCTTTTCGCTCTCACGTGTCTCTGTATTTGCTTTCAACTTATTTATTGTTTTTCTACCTTGTGTATACCTAGTTCCGTTAAACAGTGGCCACAATTTTTTTCAAAATCAATTGAAATCCCTTTTTCTGCCCCTCGGGAAATCCCTTTTTCAGCCGCCACTGGCCTGTGTGTTCAGTGTAAGGCAGCGTAACTGAGCAAACATTGCACATTGTTTTTGCTTTGTTTCTCTTTTACTTTTATTTTGCATTATCCACCTAATCCTCCAGGTAATGCACACCTGCCTCTTCCGCTTAACCCTTTGCCGCCGGCCGACGACTAATTTTCCGTCCGCACGGGCGAGTTTTTGTAATTTCCGGATGCGGACGAAGAGAAGGGAACCGTTTTCAGTCCGGCAATCATGCCGCGCCCCGGTCGTAGTCTGAATTCCGTATTCCCAATTGGGTAGTTGGTGTTTGCACTCGTAAGTTCCAATTTCATTCGCCCACTCCGGTTTATCGCCTGCATAAATTAAAAATATCCACAACAACGGGATGCGACTTTGTTTCCATAGGTATTGCACCCACGCCGCCAAATTCTGACCTCTGATCCAATTGCCCCTTTGATTACGGCCGTAGTTGTTGTATTCACGTTGCTGTTTGTAATGCAATCAACATGAAAATAATTAATACAATTAAAAGTAAACATTGCACATTGCGCAGCTGTTTGACCTCACTCACCCAGTGTCTGGGTGTGCTTTCGATTTTAATTAAACCGGCAGAGTGGGTGATCTGCATCCTGGCCATCGCATACATTCATGCGAAATTTGCTTAAATCGAATTACCAACGACGTTCCCATTCTCGATTGAGTTTGCGGACAGGACTTTCCAGGCAGCACGGCAACCAGGACATGGACTCGGCGTCTTCCGTTTGTCCACGAGCACGGAAATGGGAACTCGATTAACAGGCTTCAAGGTAATTGAAGTGGCTGGCAAGCCTTCATCACTTCCATTTGCCCGGGAAAGCCTTATATAACGGACCCAAGAATATGCTCTTCTATTTTTCTGAACTCATCAAATTATAAACAAAGTGTTTCTACAAAGGAGTACAGAGACAGAAAATGCACAATTTTACAATGTGCTTTAAATATAAGCCTTACTTTATTAATTGTAAGTTTGGTAAAATATTATGGTAGAGACTTCTAGAAATAAATTTAGTGTAAGTAGTTTAATACAAGTATTTACAATAAGCCCACTAGTATTATTTAAAATTTGTTAAAATTCTGTAATATTTATTCCATTTAAGATTTAGCAGTGCATTTAAGCAAAACTCGGGAATAACTGCTTCCAAAAGTCGTTCTGGGTCTGGGAAATTCTCACCTCATTAAACTACTCCCACCCCCATTCCCCGTCTACGAGTTAAATGTTATTAAGAACCGGAGAAACTGTGCCAGACACGGTGGAGCATTGCAGGAGAAGTGAAAGAAAGACGAACAACAAAACAGAAGAAGATTCCCTCGACCAGCACTTCATCCACTTTTCGCTGACCATCTGCATGCAATACAGCTTATTAAAAGCTGGAGCAGACAACGCGACGGCGGCCACACTGGTATAAAAGAAAGTAGTAAGTCCTTACTCAGTTGAAATATATAGTAATTATAGCTATTTTAAATATGAACATAATTTGATTAATTAATTTTAATATATTAATAATTACTTAATTAATGTTTTTAATATATCATTTGACTATGTATGCAACATATTTATGCATTCTAACTTTAAGCCAAGGTCAACTTAAATATAATGCATTTAAAACACATAGGAACCATCTTTAATGTTATATTTTCCACACTAAACCAGGCAATTTTTGCATTGTTTTATTTATTCAATATTATAATTTTATATTTTCTAAAAAAGAACAATTTAGAAAATTGTACATTCAACAGCCAGATATTTTGTTTGCTATTCCATTTTCTTTTTATCAGTGCAGCAAGAGTTGAAAAGCTTTAGAAGCTGGAGGGGGTGGATGGATTACTCTTGATTGGCATGGAATATGGATCGGGCGGTACTGGGGACTGCGCCCTGAATCAGACTGACTGCGTCCGACTGCGGGACACGCGACGGCAGTCGGCCAGGCTTGACCACGACCGCGGGCATTCAATCACGGAATCACCCTCAATCCTCATTTGCATACCCTGACTTTCTACTCTCGCATTCAAAAATGCATTTGAGATTCGGCATGACTACGAAATAAAATCTGTGGAGTTTCGAAGATCAATCGTGCAAATAAGTAGCAAAAAAAAAAACCTTTTTCACAGTCAAAATCTTGAAATTTCTGTTTACAAGTTTTACTGGGTATCACATCTCAGCGACAACTGTTTGCACAACAAAATATTTTATATTATATAGGTGTAATCGTTTTGGGTAATAGTTTTTTTCTAGTTTTAGTTTTTGCGAGATAATTTCAGACTCAATCAAAAAAATAGCTTTAGCAAAGACAAGTAATTTCCATCAAGCAATCTCTTGCGGCTATAACAAAATAGTAGCACTATTTAAAACGACTATATATCGATTTATCTGCGTTCTTTTAATTTTTATAAAATTCGTAAATAAATACAAAATGAATAAAGATTTAAAACTTTAAAAATGGTAGGTCTAGTTGCGAAGAAATAGACGAACAGATGCTGATCAACAATATATATATACTTAATGGGGCGGTAGTGTAAAGTAAACACTTTTGACTAAAGTATGTATGCTATATTGTTTAATACAGTGGTTAACTATGCATTAGCAGCCCTATTTACAAATGCATTGCTGCATTGCTGCACTTGCAGCTGAATGATCCACGTTTCATCACCATTTTTGTAAAGGGGAAAATTAAACTTACCCTTAAGCAGATGCTGCAAGATGTTGTCCTTGTGCTCTTCGGAGTGCGGCTCGCCCAGGACGATGAGCAGGTAGCAGCCTGTGAGCGGACTGGGCGGACCCACGATGCCGCCGGCCAAGCTGGAGGCGGCACCGCCGTCTGCGTCCGAGCAGGCCGTGTCCAGGGGCGCCCGACCACCGATCTCCGAGGGGGGCAGCGAGCTGGCCCCAGCATCGGTGGCGGCGTCGTCGCCGGCATCCCCTCGATCCTCATGCTCCTGCTGGCCTGGCTCCTGGTTCTGGTCCTGGGGACCACCGTTGCCATTCCCGTTGGGCAGCGAGTTCTGGGTGGCGGCCATCACGGCGTCACCTTCGGGGGCTGGACCAGCTGCTTCTCCGATTGCGGTTGTCGTTGCCTTTGGCTGATCTCCCATCACAATTGGTGCAGTTGTTGTTGTTGCTTGGCTTGGGTCACACAGAAAAAAAAACTAGTTCGTACACTTGAAAAAAAAGAAGGACCACTCTTTGGGAATCTTTTACCGACACTGGCTTTTTAGTTTTTCGCTCGTAACACGCAAGATTTCTTGGAAACGATACGCTGTCAAAAGGAAAAACTGCTAAAACGGGGGCGGCTGAGCGGGGAGTGGGCGTGGCCAGTGGTGACGCTTCACTTCACAACCGCCGTTGTTGTTCCTTTTCTTTCTCTTTTTCTTGTTGTTTTATTTTTGTTTGTTGTACTTTTTGTTTGCTGGCCGTGACTTTGGCTCAGTTTTCTTTGCCTTTACCTTTGTTTTTTCTTCGACTTTGTTTGGTTAATTGTTTTTCGGTTTTGTTTAATAATAATTTGTTTTGGGTTTGGTTTTGATTTGGGGGTCTTTGGTTTTTGTTATTAACTTTTTTTTGCTTTTTTATTGTGCACACTTTGAAGCTGTGTTTGGTATTTGGTATTTTGCGTTTGTTTAATGGAAATCTCTTTGTTTTTCGTCTTGGAGTAATTTTTGCGGCAATTGGCGTGTTTTCTTGAAGTATTATTAGTTAAATATATATAGTTTACGTATATATATATATATATATATATATATATATATATATATATATATGGAGTGAAGATTTGGACTAGCGTTTTCTGGTAGCAATTTACTTTACTTTTGGTTTTGTCTCTTTGGTTTTCCTTTTAATTGGTTTATCGATAATTTTGGTTTTGCGTTTTAAACATGAAAATTCGTTTTTTGGTTAGCTTTTAAGTGTTCTTTGGTTTTTCTCTCGATTCGCTTTCGTTTTTTGGCTTTTTCCGCGTTTGCTAGTCGATCCTTTTCGTCAATCGTCGGATCTGCAAGAAACAAGATAAATCGGGGAGTGAGCTTATGGAATATATGTATGTACTATACATGGCTAGAGCCCAAACCCAAAGTATTTACACAGTACTATTAATAAGAAGGACCATCATCACCACCCCAGCTCCCGTCAATCGGAATATGACTGGGAGCCCTCTCCGAAGTCTCCCCTTTACTTCGTCCGTGTTGCTTTCCTTCTCAATGGAGCTGCCACACAGCCGTCATCCGGGCGAGGAAAACAGCCGGAGGAGCGGCTATAAAAAGACGGCCCACAGACAGGAGCGAAAGGCGGAGGACAGCAGGAGGTGCAGACACAAAATCCATTGAACTTTGGCCGCCTTGCACAACATATAAACCAACAACAACGAATGGCGAACGGCGAACGGCTCACATGCGGCAAAATCAAGGTGGCTAAAATCGGGGACTATTTGTTGGCAATTTTTTGGGAACTCTTACAAGGTACCTAAGTACTTGAGTAACATAATATCACCGAACCCAAGAAAAATAAAAATGAAACAAAACTACTAATGATTATTATCGGAATTGATTTTAATTTTGGTGGATCATGTTTGCACTCCTAGAGAAAAGGATCTTATATTTTCTTATTAAACAATTTGTGTGGAATAATTTATTATGCAAGAAACAAAAACCTAAACTTTTTAAGCCCGTACTCTCCTTATAAAGAAACTAGTTTCGTTAATCCTCCACGTGAATAAACATTGATCCCGTGACAAAAAAAAATATTTTTTTGCAGATGTGTATTATGTATTTAAAGACAAAATTTTTTTTATACTCGTAGAAAAAACCGTTACATTTCAGGGGAAAAAAGTGGTATGCCATGGCGGTTTTTACACACAGCTTAATAAAAAAATAAATTTCTCACATAAGGTATAGGGACGGATTGAACCCTATGCTATATTATATATTGTTTTTAGTTACCAAAGTTTTTCAGTAAAATTTTACCCCAAGCTGATAATATCCCGACATTTCCCTTGCACAACTAAAGATCAAGGCCTGCAAACTAATGGGCCCATTGCACCCTCTATGTGAATCGAGTGGGTAAAAACAGCAGTGGCAGTAGCAGTAAAATCAAGGGACATGCACACGCCCCGCAGCAAAGATGTCGTCATCGCTCCATGGAAACGCTGGCGATGGAAGCCACGACGACGTTGAAGGCGACGTCATCGGACCACCCCGTTGCCCGTAAGCCGGATTCACCCTCATTTTTTATTTTGGCCGGGCTGCAGGCGAAAACTATGAAAACTATAAAAAGCAGCCAGCACGAACTCCCTTCTGGTAGGAATATTGAAGTTGCCTGGTCGGCCGTAGTCCTTTAGGCTCTCCGTCTCCCAGAAACTGATGCAGTTTGGTCGCGTGCCCGTGGCCAAAAGCGATGCGCTCCACTGCGCCGGAGTTGCACGAAGGGCCGTATCCGCAGCCTGCTGATGATTCACCGGATTCTCTTCGGTTGATTCTTTTTTACTTTTTTTTGTGGTTTTGGAGTTGCCGGCATTTCGTTGCTCCCCCGACCACCGGCTAAGTGCGGAAACAACGGATGAGAAGGCGGCTATTTCGAGAGCAGTTCCTTTCTTTGATCGCTGTGGGTCCGAAATAATCGATGCAACTCCAGCAAAGGAAGTGCCGGAATCAATAGGTCACCCACTTTGGTTATATGATATCACCGCAAGAAGCCACACAGAAAAAAAGGGCACTCACAAAAAAAGGTTCACAATCAATGGACATACACCACACCAAACCACACCACACACAGAAAAAAAGAATTTAGCGAATAAAAGAACTTCTTTCTGGCCAATTTACTTTGGCTGTCTTTCCCCTCTGTCTCTGTCCCGGTCTCGGTCCCTCTCGCTCTCTCTCTGTCTCGTTGGCTGGCGACTCTGCTGGCTGCTTGCTGCTTCTGCTTTTGCTGCTGCTGCTTCTTGGCTGTGGCTGGAGTTTCTGGCTCGATTGGACTGGACTGGAATCCCTGGCGGTGCTGCTCTGGCGCTCGCTGCAAACGGTTTGAAAGCTCGACGACGACTGATTCTTAAATCGAGCCATCGAGCACCATGAAGCAAAGCGAAGCCAGTGGGGTATCGGCTAAGGCAGCGGATGAGGCAGCGACGCCACTCGGCCGTCGGCTGTCGGCAACTCCATTTGCGTTGCCGCCGCGGTTGGAACTTCCAGCTGGGCGCAGGCTCACCCGCTCTCTGTCACTCCCCATATACCTGTCTCTCTCTCTCTCTCTCTCTCTCTCTCTCTCTCTCTCTCTCTCTCTCTCTCTCTCTCTTTCTCTATCTCTATCTACTCAGCTGTAGGCTCGGCGAAAGTCCTTGTCTCCTTGCCCAGTGTTCAAATACCCTTTTCTAACGGGACTGTGGTGCCCAAAGTATTCGATAAACATCCTTTATGCTTTTTATTTTAAAGAACTTTAAAGCTCCATTTAATTGTCTACTCCCTAACATAATATATAAAAATAACAATGATTTAAACCATGTTATTCAAAATATGGTATTTTTTAGGACAGCGATTATCCTAATTGGTGGACAGTAAATCAAAACCACAAGCGAGATAACACAACATAGCTTTGCACTTATTACATTCCGACTAAGCCTTAATCTTTAATAAAAACTATTTGCATAGTTTTATCTTGGGGATAGCTATTTTTTGCTGTCAGTAAGTAATATTTTAGAGACTCTCTTAAGACCAAACAGCTAAAGGTTAATTGAACTCTAGCTAAGTAGAAACTTTTTAGCATCATGCCTCGCTCTGCAAGGGTATTTAAAACTTGAGTGCCCTTTGTTGGGGGCCGACTATTGGGTTCGTGATGGCCGAATGTTGACTCGGCAATTCGCACTCGGATTTGCCTGCCGTTTCCAGTTAGCGGTTCTGGCGAAGCGAGCTTCGGTTCTCGGTACCGGCACTTTATGGCACCGGCATCGTAATGGCCCTGACCCGCCCTCCCATCCATTGCCGACTTTCCCTTAGCCTTTGCTGCTGTGCTGCGATTTACCCCGCCACGCGTATGAATCCTGCCCGGACCCACTTACTCTGGACCCCTTTCCACGTGGCCAGCTGTTGGCGCCGGGTGTTAGCGGCTAGTCAACTGCACAAGACACTCGGAGAACAGGGACTGAAAGCCACAAACGGAGACAGAATCGAAACCCAGACTAAACGGCTCGTCAATCGGCGCAGCGCAGGGCACACCTGGAAGTCGGCTTAACGCTAATGAAATTACGCAATTTCCAGTCTGGTCAGTAAAAAGACAGGTGAGGATCGTTAAGGGGAAGTGCCAGCAATAAGTGCTCTACCTGTTACCCTAAATCGACATTAAGTATCAGTGGATCGTTGATATTGTATACAATTTAAGTACTACAAACAACGAAATGTTTGGCAGTTGGGAAAACTATAACGAAATATTTAAGCCAATATTATAATAAGTTTACAATAACTAAACTTAATATTTAAGAGCTGGACAAATGTGTAATAAAAAAAATGTAAGTGTGGATGAGCACAAGGGGTCAGCAATGACTATGACGATTGTGCTCCAGCTTTTAATGATCCCTATGGGCTGGAAAAGCTGGCTGGAAGGGACTGGTGGGCTTCCCCACCGACCATCTGATTTTTCACCGGCAGAACTGTTGGCTGCGAATCGCGAACAGCTGCCAGCGGCTGAGAAAGATATCGATTTTGGTCTTCGTCGCTCATGTCGGCTTGCCGGCTGTTCCATCGTGCCCGAAAGTTTAGGGATTCGGGGAGTGGGGGATTGGGGGATTGGGCGACCCGGTGACGGTGGATGGGCAGTCGGCTATACGAACAGCTGACTCTGGCTGCGAACTGCACTTGGTTGTGCTTGTGTAACGCTCAGCTGAGCGCGGAGGCAGCCAAGCGTTGGATTTCGAACGGCTTGGTGGCGCGACTCCTGCTGCGCCACAAATCTGAGGCCTGGGATGCAGAAGCCGATGACGATGCCGATGCCGCTGCAGATGTAGATGTACATAGATGCAACATGCAAAGCAACACCCGCCCCAGGCTGCCTGTCTGATCAAGAAAAAAAATGCCCTGACCTACGACACAGCACTCATTCATTTGCCCGCTCATTAGTCCATTTACTGGTACTCACCTTTTGGTTAAACTTCGAGTAACTTGGCTGATTGCACTGGGTATTTGTCACTAGTTATTTGGAGCGATTCTTACGTTATTAACACACGTGGCTTTGGATGGAGCGAGTTGTTCTTTCACTTAAAGCTGCGACTCTAAAAATGTTACTGGCTACTTCGTTAACTCTATATTCAAGCACAAAATGGACACACGATTACTTTCGCAAATAACTTGTTTTAATTTTTGGCCTAAAGCGTAGGCGGCTATCTAGATATTAAGTCAACTAATTTCAAAAATATTTTCGGTAGTTCTGGTAGTGTGCAACTTTAATTTTCTGAGTTGGTCGTTCCCGAAACCGAAAAAAACTTTAGACGGATATTGATTTTTAACTGCTGTCACTGCTGCCTTTATATCTCTCCTTCTCTTTCTCTCTGCTCCTGTCACTGTCGCACTTTCGTCTGCTCTCTCCGGCCGTATTGTTGTTGTTGCTGGGGCGCCACCCAGCTGGGCCTAATTGATTGATTGCCGCTGGTTCGGGCGCTAACATTTAGCGTTTCGTATTTGTCAATTTTATTTTGGACTTTTCCGCCTGATTTTTTCGCTGTTTTTCGCAACTCTCTTGTCGGACTGCTGTTAACTCTGGGTCTTCACTCTGATTCTGGTTCTGGTGCTGGTTCTGAATCTCCTACGACGCTGGCTTCTGAAGCTCTGCTCTTGCGGTTGACATTCCCGTTACCGTTACCGCTAGGCACCCGTTACCGTTAGCAGTCCCACCGAACAACACCCACCCACCAAGAGCCGCTTCCAATTCCATTTCCATGCAAAACACACTAACACACTGCGGAATCGCCTCGTCGTCGACTGCTTTTGCTCTTTTTGGCACACTGGAAACGCGTTCGTGTCCGTTCGTGTCCGTTCGTGTGCGTTCGTGCACGAGCAAGTTCGAAAAACATGTGACAGCACCGCCGGACTTCCAGCGACGCAGGCGCAGGGTTGCCACCGCCATCGCAGCCGACAGCTGGCGAAGGGAGCCGAACAGCTGATTGCGGCTAGCCAAAGCGACGACAGCGAGGGGGTGGTAGCGGAAATGAAGGGGGGTCACAACTAGAATGCCGCCGGTCGCTAAATCCAGGCATAAAGCGTCTGATGCCGTCGGGAAATGCAAATGCGGACAGATATAGATTGGCTTAGTTATAGATTCATAGTTTGCGGAAATGAATATATAAGTTACTAAACCCAACTTCCCTCAAAAGACAAACACTGGCCAATAAGTTTTCCTTTTCCATACAAACCTACTATATGTACATATATCCTCTGATGTAGAGCAAGAAAAAAAGTTTGCGATTCAAGGTCTATAACACAATAAGAAATTTATTACTTTATCAAATTCCTGGCGACAATACCGTTAAGCATTCTATATGAAAAGTGATGCTTTAGACTTGCATCAACAAAAACCATTGGAAATGAATATGACACAAGTCTGAAATGCATTGCAACATATAGAAATATTGATTGCTAAGCTTGTTTTATATGTGCAACACAATCCTCGCTTAACGGGGCAATTCTGTTTTTGTTGCGGTCGCTTTGGAGCCAAGTTGGCGAATGGCCCACAACTTTTCATGCGGAATTCTTTAAATTTCGGCTTGTCTGTTGCTCGAGACGAAAGCCCCTAAACCTTTCGAAGCCCAAACAAGGCAGACACGTAACAACCGCGACAGGAGCCAACTGAGGGAAAGCAGAGAAGGAGGAACTTGCCACTAGGGAACGGGCCCGGGCCGGCCGACCACGCCCATTTTAATCCAATCAACGGCCTAAATTTCCAGTGCCATAGCGGCCAAAAGAAGCTAAAAAAAAGAAAATGAAACAGACGCAGAAACAGAAAGAGAAACAAAAACAACAACAACAACAGCAAGAACAAAAGCAACCCACGAGAGCCGGCAGAAATTCGAAATTTGAATTTGAATTCCGCGCTGGCTTTCATTTAATTATAAGTTAACACGATACGAAGTTGCATACTAGGCGCCGCTGGTGGCAAGTCTTGGAAAGAGCCTCCATATATGCTTCCCCTGCAGGCCATGCACTGAAAACAAATAGCATTTAAAAAAAGTTTTTTTGAGTTTTTCCCCCTACAAATTACTCATACGACACGTTTTTTTCAGATATCTTTCATTTATCAATGGGATGCCACAGTTCGCATGCGTAAAATACAAAAAAAAAATGTTTTTTAAATTTTAACCCGTACAAATTACTCATACGACACGTTATGGCAGCAAGAATAAATTTATTGTCGAAGGGCAACAGCTCGTATGAGTGATATACTTTGAATCCATTGCACACAGTCCAATACAAACTTTTTCCTAAAATTCTATTGGACCTTAAAATGTTCATGCAAATTTGAAGCGCTTTAATGTACATATATGTATATTTGGAAATCTCTAGATACCAGTTCTTGTAACTCCAAAAGTGTTTTGGTAATAACCCAAAGATCCATAAATTACAAGAATATTAATCAATACTTTCTTATGTTTTTTCTGTATGTGAGTAAGTACTATGTTCCACTGCTTTTAGTGTGCCGCCGCTTTTAAAAAGTTTGCGACACGACACAAGCCAAGATTCCGGGGTGGAGAAACTCCAAAGGGACGGTGCGGAAGGTACGGCTACAGGCAACGGAAACATGCCAAAAATATTGAAATGTAATAAATACGAGGGCAAAACAAACTAAGGGATACTTAGCCGGACTGAAAGGGGTTGCAGCGCGTGGGAAAGAGACAGCTGTAGCTGCCGGCACCTGCATCGCGTGCGCAACTTACTCACTTACAACCATCCCCTGTTCCCTATTTTATGGCATCCATGGAAAAAAATTTAAACAAACGGAAACAATTTCGGATGGATAGCCATGTGAGGGTGTGACGCCATTGATTTTATTGCAACGTTCATTTTTCCGCGGCTCGGATTGCCTTTTCCCCGGCTGCTCCTCCGCTAATTACGCTCATTATAAATGTATTAAATTTCTGGGGCTTTTTAATTATTACGGCACTCAACCTCCTTTGCTCATTTCCGTTTGGCATTTGGTAGCGCAATAAATTGCGTTATATTAATTAGAAGAAATGACTCCAGCGACGGAGCAGGGAAAAGCGGACGGAAAAGGTAAAAAGTATGCTAAGAAATTGAAAATGCAACGCCAGCAATTAACCCCAGCAAAGTGGTTGCTATCCAGCTCTAATTTAAGTAAGTAAACAAGGAGAAAAATCTTATGAAATAAACATATTATATATTATGAAACGAAAACATATTTCGATATGGCAAAATTGAAGCCAAAGATTTTCTTATTTACAGAAAATTCTAGTATTTTTATGAAAACATAATTTAGGCCATAATTATCTAAAAAAATACTTTTTGCAATTCAAAATGGTGATTTCATACATTGGGTAGTATTAATTTCATAGTCATTGACATTGTAGGGTTAATGAACGAGTTTTGGATTTATTTCAACCCCGAATACGACTCTATTTTTGGTAGTGGTTCTTTCGGTTCGTTTCGCATTGTATTCATTGCCGTGTCCTTGCTTGTTTTCGAGCCTATTTGCGGCGTAATCCTAATAAATTTCAACAGCCAACAGGCCCGAAAATGTCAGGACCCCGGTGAACAAGCAACCGTAGTCTGCGGCGATTTCGCATCGTTTTCGCATCGATTATTTGAGCTCCCTGCACTGTAGCACTTTGCACGTGGCGTCGCTGACGCCGCCGGCCGGAAACGGAAGTTGCAAGTGGCATGCGTTGCTGTCCGATGTCCGTTGTCCGTTCGGGGTGTTATAGAAAGGCCAAGAAGTTCTAAGTGTTTCAGGCCCTCTGCTTCTCATACTCTTTTCTTGGCACATTAATTAAAGACGCCGACAGAAGATGACATCCCCAAGAGGAGGAGCTGCGTCGCCGCTAATTCCCCAGGTTGAAGCTCAGAAGTTGTGGCAATCAAACTTTTGGCACCATGCCTTTAACTCCCTCGCATAACTTCCATGCATTTAACAGCGAATCAATATTGTGACCCACTTGTCTAAGTGCTGCCAAACAAGCGACTGGCGATGCCTTGTGAAAAACTCCATAAAATATGGATCGAAATAGTTGTTATCGTTTATGTTTATCCCTCGACAACTTCCAAATAAAGGCACTTTTGTACAAATAAAAAACCAATTAAATTTGCTATTTAGTTTTCATATAAAAACCAAAAATGCACATATATTTTATTTGTTAATAGTGTCAGTGCCGACTTATCGAAAGATTTTGTTTTAATCAAAATGCCAAACGTTTCTCGGAAAATATTATATATTTAAAATATTCATTATATAAAGACTTGATAGTGAACAAAAAAATGAACGATGTGAGTCCAAATTACACGTTAAAGCTTCTTAATGATATGAAATAGTGTCACTGGAAGTTATCATTAAGCCAGCAGCTCTCAGCAAACAAGGTTTTCCCGTGTCTTGGAGCTCCCCCACCGTCCTACTCTTTAAATGTGTTCAGTCACTAATTATCCTCGGAACACTCAATGCCGGCGGCTATTTACGGAGCCACTTACGACCGCAGTCCAAGTGCTCAAGGTCGTAGCCAAGAGGGCTAACCACCACCCACCGATATCCGCTTTCAGTTATTTTTATGACAAGTCTTAAGGAAAAGGGATGGGAATTTTGGTATCTTGATTTCCTCTGCTCTTGTTGCTTTCATTGTTATTAATATTTCATTTCCTTTTGGGCGGCTTTCAGAACAAACCACCACCCACCACACCATCCCTCACGCACTCCGAACAATTGCGTTTTATTATACCCATCTCCCTCGCCTTACCATCCCCCAATCCCCCGATTTTGGCCCGAAATTGCGTCGTAGGCTAAGCAAAGAACAACAAAAACCACATCGCATACTTTTTGGGGCAAATCAAGTTACAAATTTCAAGGTCAAAAAGCCAGCTGTTGGCTGCTTTTTCTGTTTTTAGGGCACGCACATCCAAATGTTAAAAGGAAGAGGAGGAGAGGAGTGGCTGCCGATTTAGGGCTACATTTATGTTATTAACTTTTAACGATTAGCAGCAGCTCAGCAAAAACTAAAGAGATACAAAGTCCTGTTTTGTCAATTCTCCAAATTAAAATTCAATACACTAATTAGTAACTGAGAACGTGTTGAATAAATTATTTCATGAAGCTTTTTAAGCTTCAACTTGTGTTGAACATAAATGCATTAATAAAATTACTGGTATTAAATTCCTGGAAGAACGATAAAAACCATTTTATAACAGCTTGTTAAGCCCGTCATAATAAAGTAGATAAAAACAATTACAACTTCATTTTGTATGATAATCGAGCATTGATAATCATTTAATTTTTAAATCAAAGGAATTTAAGGGGGAGCGGGTTGTTTGGCCCAAAGACCGACCGACCAAAACCATTACCCTTAAGCCGGCCGCTTTAATTAAGTTTCTATGCCCGGACTGCGTCAGCTGGCATTAAGGCCAAAAGGTGTTCTGGCTATTAAGGCGCCACCTGCCGGGCGTTGCTTGCGTTTTATTTGAGCCGCATTTGCTGCCGCTCTTGTTCTTGTTGTTGTTGCTCTTGTTCTTGGCTTGGAGAACACTGCAGGGGCTCATTGTGGTGTAAGTTTTGGCGTAAATCGATGCGGCAGCCACAGTAACCATAAAGTAGAAGGCACCACACACACACACACACACACACACACCTATGGATAACATTTTGTACCTTTTTCGACACCGCCGTCCTCCTTAAACCCCGAACCTTCCGATCCCCTGTTTTTTTGAGTG